AATGAGAGACAGCATGAGAGGGAGAAGGGTCAGAGGGAGAAGCAGACTCCCTGCCGAGCAGGGAGCCCGATGCGGGACTCGATCCCGGGACTCCAGGATCATGACCTGAGCCGAAGGCAGTCGCTTAACCAACTGAGCCACCCAGGCGCCCTCTAACAAATAAATCTTATATATACATAAAAACTGAGATATAAACATGAATATTCATGTACATTGGGTATGGGATGAGTCCAGAATTCTTGTGATAATAGGTTAAAGTGTAGTCCATTCCAACCATAAATGGCTAATGAGCCTCAGATATTTTTATTCAAGAAGTTCATTTACACTTTGAATGTAAGTCACACTGATAATAAGAAAATGTCTTTTCCCCCCTCCCAGGTATTCCTCTAGTTGGTAACCTAAGAACGAGGCTCCTTGCACTTCACGTCCTTGAGGCTGTGCTACCAGCTTGTGAATCTGGTGTAGAAGATGATCAAATGGCTCAGGTTTCTATTCTTTAAAGCTATTAGAAGATATTTTTCACATGTGTAATATAATTCACCCCAAATCCAAATTATAGTCTCTTCAGTGGTAAATGTGTCATTAATTCAGTAGCAAAACTTCTGCTTCTGAGATTGCTTTATTATTTCATTTCCAAGCAAGGAGAAAGAAATTAAGCTTATGGGTGTGAGGAGTAGGGGAATAGTGAATACTTGGAAGGTCAGAAGGAAAGGAAAATCTGTGGAATTTCTTACTAGGTTTGGGCCTCTAGAGAGAGAAATATGTGTGGTTGTGTGGCCTTATCAGAGGTCCATATAGTGAGGAAACATGGAGGGCCATGGAACCCACTAGAAAGTGGGTTAATGATCCTTCTAAAAAAAGATGTTTAACTTACAGACACCCAAAGTAGCTTGTACATTGTTATAATCAAATTTCACATTTGACTTAATATTACAGTTACATGACTTATTTTTTCTAAAATTACTTAAAATTATCTTTTACAAATTTCATCATTCTTTTTCTTTCAATAAATAGGTTGTTGAACGCCTCTTTTCCCTTCTGTCGGACTGTATGTGGGAGACACCCATTGCTCAGGCCAAACATGCTATTCAGATAAAGGAAAAAGAACAAGAAATAAAGTCACAGGTAAGTGATTCTTCCAAAAAGGTATTTTTAGACAGCACAAATGACTACTATCCTGTCTCCTGTCTCTGGACTCCTTCTCCTCTGGGGGACTTTGTTCTATCAGTTATTCCATATTCTTTTTGCACTTTCTCCTTCTCCATTGGTTCCTTTTTCTCAACTTATAAACATCTCTCATTCCTACCCTCCCCAAAATCCTTTTTTTACCCAAGAAGCCACCCATGTCCTCTCACTTGTCCTTCACTGCTAAGCTTCTCAGAAGAGTAATTTTATACATATTTATAAGCCACTCCTTAGTTCTCATGTTCTCTTCAATTCAGTTGTTGCTCTTCCATCAAAACACTGAAATTAAATGACAAAAGTAAGTGCTAATTGCTAAACGTAGGATGCACTTTTTTGTCTACATCTTACTTGATCTCAGGAAACTCTAGCTTCTGTTGTTTTCAAAATACTGCCTTCTCCTACATCTCCATTCCTCTGCCAATCCTTGGTTCCCTCTAGAGGCATTTCTTCTTTGGTGCCACGTTCTCCTTCCCTCCATCCCAAACTCTGTTATCCCTCAGAGTTCCAGTCTTACCTTTTCCAGCCGTCTGGAATATATCTGGAACCATTTTCACCTATATGCAGTGTCTTCCAAACTTAAATGCCAGCCCAGGTGTCTCCCCATCAAACTTTTTTACTTTTTTCCATGTCCATTTTTTAATTGGTGGCACCACCATTCACATAGCTTCCAAACCTGTGTTCTTGGGAATTCTGATTCTCCTAATGTCACCCCATCCATGTAGTCACTAGGCCTCATTGATTTTACTTCCTAAATTGTTCTGAAATCCATTTATGTAGCTACCTTAATCTTTCTCTTAGTTTTCATGGGCCCACACTTTCTCTGGTTTTCCTTCTATCTCAGTACAATGGCTTCTTCTCATTCTCTTTTATTAGTTCTTCCTCTTCTGTTTAAGTGTTGGAGTATCCCAAGGCTTGGTCCCAAGACCCCTTCTTTTTTCAACCATCATCCCCGCTTCTTCATCACTTCTTCAGAGTTCCCTTTCCTGATCCTAAATCTAGAGTTACTTGTCACATACTCTGTTACATCATTTGCTTTAATTTTGACATAGCACATACCTGATATTTTTTTGTTTATGTATCTTCTGTTTCTACCTTCTAAAGTGTAAGTTCTAAATAGTTTTAAATATATTATTTAATTA